TCATCACTTTTTTTGTTCGATCCGAGAAATAATAAATAGAAGTGTATGGCTCAGAGAATTTCTCTGAGATTACGAAGGATCTCAGAAAACCATAAATGTTTTTATAGAATAATCATCTAAACCTATATTTATAATGATAAAGTCAAAGCTTAATTAGAGTTTTATTTATGCCCTATCCCTTGTTCTCAAAGAAACTAGGGACATATGCTCTCTATGATTTTATTGTGACGCTTATATGCATTTTACTTCATTGATAATAAGTTTGAGATTTATAAAGATCATCTTTATATACTTGTTGATTTGTGCTATTTAAGTTGTGTTTTTAAATTTTGTATACATCTTCGGATAGTCTTGTTGATATTATCCTTTTTTCTTATACTGTCCAATTATTTAAGTTCATATCTTTCGATGGATGGAATAAAATAATAAAAATTATTATTATTAATGTTGAGTTGAACTATATAAGAAGGTATCTAAAAGAAAAAAAAACAAATAAAAAAGTAACGTGTGAGAGGCCTTGTGAGTGTACATATGACCGATGCTCAATGCTCATAGAAATTTCAAATTAGCCTATACATATATATATACGACCAAATTTCTACTTGATGCTAATAATTTCACAGATTAAAATTTCTAACATTTGGTTTGTATCATTCAGGGCGGAGTAGGAAGGAGTACAATCCAGTGGAGTTCAATTCGCGTCTCTTCCAACACGGAGTCGGCGTACAGTTACAGCAGCATCCAAAGCATTTGGTGCGCGCTATGGGGAAGAAGCAGTTGTCGTACCATTCTTAGTCCCACATTGCTAGTTTTCAAGAATTATTTCACTTGATATGATGGGATGAAAGCGCCTCGATCGCCGAGCCCAATAGCGTTGGCTTGTAACCCAAGCGGGGGCATAAGGGTGGTGGGATGGCGTGTTGGGCGCGAGCGGGTTGGGTGTACGTTCAAGAACTCGGCTTGCCCATTCCAAGTCAAGTAGATGAGCCATATGATCTGGGCGAAAGCCTGAGTCACACGGGATCCTAAAGCGGAGGACACCGCGTCAGGCTGGCTTCACAGAGCAGCGACCACCTCCCGCTCTTAACGGTGGAAGGATAACAGGCCGTCGTACGCCACACCCAACATGCCCACCGAGCTTACACTGACCAAACCATCCCTCTTTTTTGGGACGATCCCTTTTGATCTCAAACTCGATCCGATCGCCAACTCAGATTAAACTCAAGTCGAAAGCAAGAGAATTTAAGTAGCAATCACTAATGGCACATTTACTGTCTCTCTTCTTCCGAATCCATCAAGACAAATGCCTGCTTAGGTAGCTCCTTCTAATCGATTATATATAAAAAATTAATAGTCAAAAACATGATTAGACTTATAGACCAGATATATGCCATGAAAGAGAAACAAAGAATGGACCTCAAAAGAAAGATAAATGTAAAGACACTTTTGACTATCATGCCTTTTTTATCATAGAAGCATGTTTATTCACATAACAGACATATAATTGAATAATCGTATCAGCTGGACTATGCCACATGTATTGTATCAAATTGTCGATTAGTGATCTTTCTTTTTTTTCTGTTGAAGAGTTGAATTATTCTAGTGTAGGGTACTCTCCATTGGCAATCTGAAATGATCGATAGGTAGGGTGAACTCCATTCACAGTCTCAAGTGATCCATAAGAATGATGCTTCCCATTGGTAGTCCGAGGCAATCTATTAGAAGCGTGCACATTGCCAGTCTCAGACGACCCGAAAGTAGGATGCTTTCCAGTAGCAATCTTAGGTGCTCCATAAATATGATGCTTTCCATTGGAATTGCCCAATGACCCAGTAGTACAGAGCCTTCCGTTAGCAATCTTGGGCAACGCATAAGTAGGGAGCTTCCCATTAATAGTTTCAGGAGATCCACAAGTAAGATGCTTATCATTAGTGGTCTCAGGCGATTTGTATCCCCAAGGATTTTTGCTAGCCCAGTTCCATTGATCTCGACACATCTCTTCAATATCATACTTTGCCCTGCACAGTAAACATCAAATAATACCCCATCACTAAGCTAGCTGTGTTCAATTGACATTCAAACAATAGATGATCAAAGATCTAACATGCCTCTACAATTTCAGAATAGATTTTTCGCTACCAAAGGACCGCGGAAAATATTTCTAGATGAACTTAAGCATATAATGGTAAAGATGTGCTACTCCGTACTTCCAATGTAGCTCCTTCTCTGCTTTGGCAATGGATGCGTAAACAGTTTCAGCATCACCAGGTCGCCTTTCAGCCATGACCAAAGGGATTTTCTGAAACGATATCAGAGGTCAGAAAAATATGCAACGCACAAAGCGAAACCAGGCTTAAGCTTCAAATCATTATGTAGAGGATCATAAAAGAAGAACAGCAGCACCTTCCCAGAAGCCTTCTCAAATGCTGCCACCATTTCCAAAACAGATGTTCCCTTCCCACTTCCTAGATTATAGGCTTCACAGCCTGCATCTTGCAAAAACAGCTTTAATCACGACACAGAAAGCAAGGCATAGCCCTTGCTCGATATCGGAGGGAAACATTAACAGTTGTATATATAAAATGAACTGAAAAAATATACTATGAATTGATATATTTCTCTGAATAACAACTACCAAGGCATGAAAGTACTATGATTATATTATATACTGCTGCAACCACCATGCCAATGAATTTTTGGCAAAATTGGAGGTCCTTAAGTGCGAGTAAAATGTGAGCTGATTCATATAGGTGCATACTCTACTGAACCAAACCACAGCATGCACTGACACACATCATTTTGTCTTTAGCATGTATAGGCATAACACAAGATCAGCAGAGACTTTAGCAGGCATTGCCGTAGCTTAAGAAAAACCTATCATTCTTTAACTGCTAACAACTTAACTTTATACATCAGCGAAGGAAAAAAAGGAACCTTTATTGCATCATGTCAAAAATTTTGCTTCGATAGTTGAATGTGCTTCAATTATTACATTGTCTACATGCTTCCTATTTACGATTCGCCTATCACTACCACAAGTAGGAGCAGTGATTATTGAACTAGTTTTTACTCCAGTGTGTTTCCTGCCAGTGTCAAAGTTACTAAATCAAATAACTAGTATAATTATTGACCCTCGTTCCTAGACTTCAACATCTATTTCAATGAGACCAAGAATACATGTATGCTCAAAAAGCTACATGTTTTCTAAGGTAAGACTTAAAATGGAACCTACTTAACAAAGTGCTCTCTATAGCTAATCCCAACATGTCTGAGTCTGATGGAGATCATAACAATAATAACTTCTTTTGAACTTCGTAAACCCAACTCAGGTGACATTAACCTGAATATTTAGACTTATGACATCTCTGCAGTCAAGGGACAACCAAATAAAACCAGCTTTGCTAGAAACTGGCTGCAAACAAAGAATGAGCTTAGAAAAAAAATGTGAAGATTTTATTGACACACCCATTGATGGAGTTAAGCCAGGACTTTAAAATTTTATCCTTTTATTTTTATTTTTCAAAGAGGGGAGAGGAGTGGGAGGGGCACAAGCCTCGGAAGATCATATAATTATCAAAGGGAAAAAAAAAATAATAAAATTAAGCTAGAACATAGAGAGAAATGTACTCATACATGGAAATTTAAAATAATGGAGGGGAAACCAAATAGAAATAAAAGAATATATTATGTGCATACTCCATATAATAATTTCAAACAAGGGAGAGCAATATACTGCACTTTGCATAAGAAAATAATTTAACAAACAACAAAATACTACTTAAAACCTAGGAAAGTTATAAGATATCAGTAGAAAGGATTAGAACAGATTGTCATAACATAGAAGAATACGTACAATAAAACAGGCAGAGAGTTTTACCAAGACAAATGTGGAGGAGGAGGACCATTTCATACCCATGGAACACACCCAGGTTATGGATTCACACCTTTCTATGGCTAGATTTTACCCTTTATTTCCATAAGACGAGAGGTGGTACACATTGACCCTTTCTCAACCCATGAGAAACATGTGCCTACCACCCTCTCTTTTTCCTACTCCTACCGTCTCAACCAAAACAGAAGGAATACAATGCACGGTGATAGATACAAGTACCAGAAAAAGGCATTCATAATTTATTATTTGTATACATGTTATTATGAGAGATAACAACAATCAATTTAACCTTTGATTTAGCAAAATTCTTAATTATGCTGAACTAGATAAATTAAATTCACATGGCATGTGGAAAATGAATAGGTTCTCAGATGGTCCTAACTTCATCAAACACACGTTATGGAAACATAATTAATAATATACACCTCGTTTAATCCAAGAACTTAATTCCAACAACATAACTTTAAGTGCCAGTTGTACAGACCTATATGAGAACCTTCAAAGAGCTTCTGCAAAGCTGCAATATGTCCATCCGCTAAATCAATTACATGAATGTAATCCCTTACCTGGAATCACAGTATAATGTCCATAAGATCAGAAAGTGTGTTTAAAAAACAAAACTATACAGAAAAAATATATATTCTTCATCTAAAACCCAGAAAATTGTGGGTCAGGAAAAAGACTGAACAAAATCAAGGTTACAAAAATAACCAAAACTCTCAACATATGCTGGTAAACACATACTATAGCAACACAGGAAGTAAATAAAATTGATAATATATTAGAAAATAGACATAGGCAAAAACACAACTCGAAATTAATTTCTCGAATGTGTTTTTAGCCTTCTCAAATCATTTTCTATTGAAAATGTAAAGAAAAGTTAACCTTGTTTTAGTGTCAGGATGGTGTGTTCTGTTATAATTCTGTTGACTACTTCCACATCTGGCATTAGGACGCAAAAAGCTATCTTAGGTGGTTCTTAATCTTTGAGCAAAGGTCACGTAGAATAACTCAGAAACTATGGTAGAACATACTGTTTCCAAATAATGTTGTCATTTCATTTTACAGGTATTCTGAATCCATGTCGTACTCATGTAGATCAATCAATTTTATCTGCTTGAAAATACAAATGACCTAAGGCCTATGCTAAAAGGCTAGATATGCAAAAATTATTTCCTATCGATTGATGTTTATAAAAAAAATATATAAATGAAATCTCAAAAGTAATAAAGTTAACATGTTTAAGATCAGTACCCCTGTCCCATCCTTGGTTGAATAGTCATTTCCAAATACTGTCAGGGCAGGCCTCCTACCAACAGCTACTTGTTGTACAAAAGGCATGAGGTTATTAGGAATTCCCTGAGGATCTTCACCAATGCATCCACTAGGATGAGCTCCAACAGGATTGAAATATCTTAATAGTATTATATCCCAATCATTGTCACCTTGGCAGATATCACGACAGATATCTTCAGTCATAAGCTACAATGACAAAATAATTAAAGGATTATTAGATCAGATAGTGTGGCCATAAAAACATGGAAATGTAAGGCAAAGATGAAAAAGAAACCTTAGTTCGTCCATATGGGTTCATTGCACATAGAGGAACTTCTTCTGTACAGGGTACTTCCTTGGGCCACCCATAAACAGTGGCTGATGAGGAGAAAACCAGCTGTAAATTAAAAAATATCAGGCACCCAAATTTAAGATATCATGTGTTCAGAATGGTCATGAATAATAACATATAAGTGATAATTGAGGTGGAATTCATGCATATAGGATAAAACAATGTTTAACACCTGAATTCAGAGAGTAAACATACTGGGAAAACAGAACTTCAAACTCAGATTAGTGTTTTATAGGTAATTTCAGGCAAAGAAAGAATATTTGCCAGAACTTCAAAGTTGTCACAGGAGGCAGTCAATGCATTCAAGCTACAGCCACCACCTAGGTGGTTGTGAAAGAATATTTGTTTCATTTATTATTGAGCTAGATAAAGCTATTGCTCGATAAATGTCAATTTCATGCATATCATTGCAAGAAGAAGCTCAGAGGCTCTGAAAGTCTGAATATTGATTTTTATTTTTCATAATGTCCTGTCAAGTTTGCAAGAGAAATATATGGATCGCAGTACCTTTTTACATCCATATGCAACCATTACTTCGAAGAGATTTATTGTACCAATGAGGTTGTTGTTGTAATACATTAAAGGTTTTTTTACACTTTCACCAACAGCCTTAAGTCCTGCAAAGTGTATGACTGCATCAAACCTGCAGAACCAAATCAAAATATGAGCTTATAAAAGTAGCACATCATAGAAGACTAAAAATAAAACTTGGCATATAATGGAAGTGGAAATATCAATGACAAAAAAGGAAAACCAATATGCAATTAGAGATCTAACATGTAAAGCATATCTAAATGCCATCAAATCTTGTTTTATCAAGACATCACAAAAAACCATCAATTTGAGATTAATAATATAGAAAGATGAGAGTGTGCTGTGCAGTTGTTTGCCTTAATAAAGCACCAGAGGTTATAATAATAGACACCACAATCCAGAATTCTAACAATAGTATTCCACGTGCAAAAGGAAAAAAAAAATGTAATGGTGAGAAAACGATAACAATGTTCATAATAAAAGAACCTTACGTAGTTGAAGAAAAAACTTTTTCAAGTGCTTCCCTGTCTCGAAGATCAACCTGCAGAAGGGACAGTTTGAACATCAAAGTTATATATTGAATCTTGTAGTTTTCATTGTTCAATTATAAAAATCAGACTAATTGAAAGTTGGCAAAATAACTAATTTTGCATGCCGGTTGAAGCATATTCTTGATGACGTTTTGTCACAACAATTTCCTAGCTATTCAAATGTTGCCCTCTGCAACTTCTAAAGAGAATCAAACAGTTCATTTTGCATAGAATACAACATTGTAATATGAAGAAAGGTTTTTAACTATCGACAAGAAACACACATGTGTTCAACATCACGATGTAAAGGTCATGTCGTTATTGTTTGTTTAAAGAGGGAAAACAATATGCCAAATAGAAAACGACTGAAACTGTAAGAGGTAGAGAAAATGTGGCATATCATGTTTGAACTTGCACTTGCAGGTAAAGCTTTTAGGTTGATGAATTCTAACTTTTTATAAGGATATTTTCGATATCCTCGTCCTCATTAAGTGATCGGTAGGAACTATCTTTCTAGACAAAAGGATCCTTTCGTTATGATACTTTTTAATAGTGCTCGGTGAACTAAGCTGACCCAATTTATAGTTGGAAATTTTAAAATTAGGATAGCAAGAATGATAAAAGAATATAATAAACTGCACGAACAACAGAGATCAAAACATAGAATAAACCGTAAGGGGGGTAATGCATGTGCTGTTATCAATCTAGTTCTCCCAATTGAGTGAATTATACACAAAGACCGACCAGTAATTTTCCCATGCTGAAATTCTCAGAGAAATATGTCATAAATAACCTATTTAAACTATTTTGGTAATTAGTGTTAGCAGTTTATGAATTTTGGCAGATTCGGTAGCGATTTCCAGGATTTTAGACTCCAAGTAAGTGTTCAACATTCATGTTCTGGCATTTGGAACATGAACGTTTACCTAATTTGATGAAAACGACGAAGGCCTTTGGCTACAAATAAGCGTTTTAAGACACGGTCTAGCCTCTAAAATTCGACTATTTCCTAAATTTGATGAAAGGCATGTCATGACGCACGAGCAAGCCTCATTCAAGAAATCCTAGAATTACAAGTTCGCACAGAACCCAAAATTGCATGAACATCAGGAACTAATTACTAGCGGCAACAATTGGGAAGTGGAGCAATCCACTGATTCATAATGCTGGGAAAATGCTAGAAATGCAGCATGACGTTCTCGAGCGCAAGACAGAAAGGAAAGAAGAATCACGTCACGGTGGAAACAGCGCAAACGGGAACAAATATTCTCAATCGAGAACCGTGCATGAAATAAAATCGTCAATCAAGAAGCCACTCCCAACTCGCAGATATCGAGGAAACCATCCGGACACATCCAGAAGCCGAAAATCCAGAGGCTGAACCTACATGAGTGGAATAAGAGGGTGAAATTGGTACCCTGTGGAAGACGAGGTTCTTGCCGAACTCCCCCGCAAGCTCTCTGACCCGCTCGACGGCGACTTCCGAGGAGTTATCGAGGTTGTCCACCACCACGGTTCGGAAGCCCCCTTTGAGGAGCTGCAGAACCGTGTGGCTGCCAATGTATCCGGCGCCACCGGTGACCAAAATGGTACGCGCCACGGCCGGTGGCGAAGGCATCGGATCGGCGGAACGACGAAGGCGAATCAAGGAACTCTCGATGACTGAAGAAAGGAACGCCGAGCGAGTGGGGGGAGAACAGAGGTGAGAAGAGACTAGGGAGCGGTATTGGGATCCCGGAGCGAGGGAGGAAGGAATATATACCCGCAGATGATCCCTAACCGCCATGACCACCGAGAGTCAATGCCTGTGAACGCTCGCGAATAGTCAACAAGAGAGAACTGTTCCCGTTTTCGTTTCTTCCCTCTGCGGGATCGTATGCTTTCGCCGTCATAAAGGTAGCGAACCGCTCACGTGGCTTCGATCGATTGGCGGACTCCGGACTCTTACCGCTCGGTCCCCGTCGCCAACGGTCTTGGGGGACAGGAGCGCGGCTCGGCTGTCCGGACCCAGACAGGGCACAGCTTTTTTTCGGCCGCCGTGGCGGAAAGGTGTCGAGGCTGTCGTGGTGGGCCCCGTCGCCGTGCGGTGCGAGCGTGCCGGCCGAATGGACCAGACAACCTAGTCGGGCTCGAGTGGGACACGGGACAGGCAGCACGACTCGACTGGTAGGCCACATGTTTGATGAAATTACAATGAGGCGAGGCGATGGTGGATTTCTTTTTTCCGAAGACTTGACGGAGGAGATGGCGCCGTATTCCGGGGACGGGCGGAGATCTCGAGACTCATAGCGGACACGAACGTGGTGCCCTTTGCGTCCCGGTGGGAGAACGACCACCGGGCTCTCTGTTCATGCAAGCAAGCCAAAAGTCAAGCGACGAACGGCCGCACATCCACGTTTTGATGTGGCATTTGTGGAGACGAGGGACCAACCAAAAGGCGATACAGATCTGGCTTGAAAGGAAAACAAACAATAGCGAGAGAAGGAAAGCCAAAAAAAGGCCAAGTAAGAGACGCCACGGAGCCTCGCTTGCTTTACTCTACTCGCACGCACGTCAATGAACTGCCGAACGCCCGTGCGAGGCGCCATGGAATCTGCCAAGAAAAGAAGAATATGTAGTTGAAAAGTTGGACTCTGCCAAGAAAACAGTGTGCAGGAGAAGATTTAGATCGCATGTCATTCTAGAAAGATTTATAAACGTTATTTTTCTAGTCTGCACGATGTCAACAATAGATCTCATGTTTGATTTAAGAAATAACAAAAGGAGGTGCAGATCCAGAGAGCAGAAGCATTGACCTGTGGCCCGTTCGCAGGAATTACGAAGACGTAGACTGGCGAGTAGCCATCGTCTGGCAGTGACGACCGACGAGTGGCCATAATGGCCATTATGACGCCGAAGAAAGAGTAGAGAGATGTTTGGATCTGAAGATTTGCGGGATTAAAGAACATGAAAAAAGAATTAATTACATCAATGATATATATAACACCCAAGAAAGCACCGATCGCTATATCTTAAATATTTGCGACAGAAGAATGATTTAATTGGAAAGGAATATAGTTAGGGTTGACTCGACGATCCACGACAGAGGAGTTTACCAGCTCTGAGAAGGTGGACTTCCAACTTCAAAGTAATGCGGCGTCCAAATTAGGCGATCAGCAAAAGGTGGGCAGGTTGCTTGGCTGAGACCTTGACTTGTGGATCCACCCCAAGTCAAGTGCAGAGCCTCTTGGTTGATGGGGAAAGAAGAAAGAGTTGATGTGAGTGACAATGAAGTTGAGGCATACTGCCGTGGCAGTGAACTCGTGGTGCAAAAGCCGAGTCAAACGGATCCAATTCAATCCTTTTCCTCTCGCACGAGTAGGTTCTTAGCTTTCTTTTCTCCTGGTCGTCCTCCAACTTGTCACAGTGCATGTGTACCTATTCCGGGGATCTCATTCTTAAGGAAGAAGCCATCAGCTAAGTCAACATAACGTCGGTCTCCTCCTTCGGAGTCATGTGTTGCGCATGGCCTAATTGCGATTACGGTGGCCTTTGGTCGAAGTCGGAATGCTCGGCTCACCTGTCCGAACGCGGAGTAAACTCCATGCATGACGACGTCGCTGCCTGCCTCGTTCCGAGAGTGGTGAAAACGTGAACGCTATATATCTCTGACTTCAGATATAGAATATTCACACAGTTAATGTGAGTCAGTTTAAGCCTAATCAAGATTCTCTCCGTTCCAAGGAAGCAACACATGCGGACCATATAGAAATGGTGAGGAAGGAGCGCAGCGCTTGCAGAGTTGGAGATGTCAATGGTGGCAGCAGTACTCGATCGCTGGAGTCAGAAGACTGACGCAAATCATGTGAAGCATCCAGTGAGAGGAAGACACCGCCGCCATTGATGGTGAGGCGAGAATACATCCAAATGAAAATGAAGCATCCGATTACTACTTAACACTGTCCAAAGATATTGACTGCGGATTTCTTTCTCTTTTTCGTTCTTGACTTTGTTTGGGATACTGCTGAAATCTTTAGATATAGGGGGAGTACAGATCTAGTAGTGTGATTGCATTTACTCATATTGGATTCTCAAGGGAAAAGAAAGTAACAAGGTTTTGAGATAAATGGTGGTTCAAAAACTAGTTCATTTCTCAGACGCAATATGGCAAACAGATGGTCGTCATGGACGATAGGCCCAATTTCTTGGGCTGTAGAACACAACTAAAAGAGCTTATCGAATCAAAGTTGCTGCGGCACCTTTTGGTCCATCCATCTCCAATCCTCTCTGATGGAGAAGTAGTATAGCTTCGTCATTAGACAGTCAAGTGATCAAAGTTTTGAGATAATTAGATTCCATGAAAGCCTGGCCAGGCCTTGCGCTGTCCAGCGATGCCGCCAATGTGCTTGCGTTGATGTGCCAATAGAGAGCCTCAGGGTGTCATGGAGTAATCATCAACTAGGGTTGCCATAAAGCGAGAGACACTTTTCTCATCATGGAAGAGTCCAAGAATTATTGGCCACCCACATCATGGCTAGATCCAAACTTCTTCTAGAAGTGCAAGCGATGGCCCTCCCCTGTGTGCATGGACAAACGAACGGACAATGGACTCATGCATGAACAAGATGACATTCACCCAACAGAGGTGCGCTGTGTTCATGGACAAACAAACAGACGATGGGCTCATGCATGAACAAGATGAGATTCACCGAACAGAGGTGCACCGAAGGGGAAGGAGAGGACTAATGCAGAGAGTGGCCCAAAAGAATGGGCACATCGACACAAGTCCATTAGAGAGGGAGGTGTCCGGGAAGAGTCTACACGAGAGAAAAAATACCCAGTAGACCCACACAGCTGTCGTCACCTCCCCGAGAAGAAGACGATGGGTGGTGGCCACAAAGCTGTTCGATCGTTGTCGAGGTGGGGACACAACTCTCCTACAGCATCTCTGCAATGGAGCAGTCAAATGGATCCCTCCAAGAACAACAACAATGGCGTCGACAGACGTTGCGAGGACAGACGCATGAGCCATTTCGAATAGTTAGAGACGGTGGTTCAGATGGATCGGTTCAAATTTGCACTGGCAAAGCCAAAATCTATGCAGCTGAAACAAGCACGAACGCACAGTAGATGATGGCAATCAACTTGCACTCCCGAAGAGTAATGAGAGCGAAGAACTCTGCAACCACCATCGGCACCTCATGCAACAGCAACAGCAGCAGCCTGTGATGGTGGAACTATTCGACCAGGTAGTAGAACGCTTCATATAGATTAATCACACACCCGCATTTATGTCGGCATCTCGAATCACCTTGTCTTGTCTGTCGGGAATAATACTGTATCGGTGCACAGGGGATCCAAGAAATCCAACCAGCACTGCATCTAATTTTGACCATCCGACCAAAACAAGTTGGAAGAGAATACAGGGAAATTGTTGTTGTGCTCTTCCTCTCCATTATTGATCAGTGTAAGCTTCCGTGCAGTCACTCCATTATTGATGTCATGGAAGGACAAGATCTAATTGTTTGAGCATGATGACGGCAAGGGCAATGGAGTCAGGTGGTCCCGGTGGGTCATCCGATGCCACGCCGCCCGATGTTGGCTGAGACAACACAAAGCTCTTCTCTTTATATCGGCGGCAGGCCCCCCCACCTCGGATGTGTTGATGCACAAGAGCCACGAGGAGCTGCCGCTTCCACTACAGAGAATATAGCAGTAAGCAAGAGGGGAAGATGCACGAGCTGCCAGCCATGTCGCAGGGGGGCTTCTTGCAGGAAGTGGCGGTCGGCAGCTACAACATCCACTTCTCCCACCTCCCGCTCCCCTACGACGACGATGACTTCCTCCCCGGTCTGCACGTCGACGCCGAAGATGCCAGCTTGGTAATCTTGCTCCCCTGTGTTAATTCTCTCCAATAAATCCGTTCCATTATCTGCTTCGGTCGATCTGAGATCAAAGAGTGATGAAGGGACGTTAAGATCAACATACATGTTAACCTTCCACAGGAAGCGCCACCTTCTGAAAGCGACCAAATTGGAATTGTTTAGTTCAGTGGGACGCATCTATTAGATCATACAAGCAAACTTTTGTAGCTCAAACCAAATAAAAAGAGAGATTTTTTGTTGTTGTTGTTGTTGGATGCTATGATGTCAAAGAAAAATGAAGAGAAACAAAAAGAGGTGGGTGTCATTGTGGCTGCCATGGTAGAAGTAGAAATTTCAGATTTAGGAACTCGCAATCTGGATTATCATAGTTGGAATGACTTGAAGAGTTACTATGCTTCCTTTAGCATTCACCAACACACACAAAGTCTCAATTTGAAAGAACAGTAATGAGTTAAAATCTGAACACCTTGTGATCAGTTTTTGTACATGACAACCTTAATGAACATTTGTGTACCTAAATATAATTTGTTTTGATTACACGTAAATGTGTATATTATAGATCAAAAAGTGTAATGAGTGCTTCAGAGTTAAAATCTACATATGATTGAAGAGCAAGAATTTACTTCGTTGAGATTAGAAATCTTTTCCTTCTAACTTCTGGATTTTTGTCATAGGGAATCATGTTTGATGAGCAGGTGAAATCAGAATATGATATGGGAGGAGGAGGAGATCTATTCAAAGCTCCAGAACCTTTCTTGGTAGAGGCAGAACTTGAACTAGATCCCATGGCAACTGCCGTGCCCATCATATACGGCGGAGGTGATGTAATCACAGAAATAATCAAGGTTGCAAGTATGGAGTCAATCCAAAATGATCATCTAGATGGCTTATTCTATGAGTGCAAGAAGGGCCTTCTGGAGGAGTCAGAGATCGAAAATTCAATTTCTGAACTTTTAGATGTCAAGATACCTGCAGTACAAATTGATGAGGTTCCACCTTCAAAAGATCTTAGCCAAGCAGATGGATCGATGCAGAAGAGCATTAGTTCGGGGTGTTTAAATTCAGTGGAATGGGTTCCCAGAAGCACTATGAGACCAGAGTTCTTTGATTTCCAAGAATTAGATTTTGAAGCTGCATTTGGTTTGAAGAGATCATATAGCGAGGGAGATATTCGGGTATAAATAATCATTTTTCTAAGTGCTTTTCATTTGTTCTCTTTTTATTTTGCAAATATTTTCTTCTAATTTGTGTACAATTACAACTGAGACAGGATATGACATAAGCTCTCTTCTTTCCGAAAACTTTGGAAAATGAGAAGCGATGCCTTGATCCTCTACTTTTCGATTTAGAAAGTTCACTTGATGTGTACATTCAACTATTCTCAGCTTGCATCATGTAGGCATGTCATATGAATATACTGAATTCTCAAGGATACTCTGTAGCAGATTGGTAGGTTTGAGTTTGAATATTTTTTGCTTTAACACTAATGCTTATCATATTGGATAAAACTGTCGACGACGAAAACCAGAGTTGATAAAAATGGAGGTGTGGAACTTACAATGTTTCATATGTTTCCCTTGAAATAAAAAACTTAAACAAGTCCTTGATCAACATAAATTGTGTCATGCCGAATAAGTTTTCATCTCATTGGTCTTAGAAGGCTGTAGATGAAACATCGAGTCATGCAATACAAACTAATGCATGATTAATGACCACAGCCATCATAGATGTCGGAAAGAGTAGAAGTTCAGAAACAAAATAACTTAGTATCTTTAACTGAAGTACTAGATTTATGAGTTTTGTCGCATGGTGGGAAAGAACTCCATGAATTTAACTTCTAGACCAGTGAATATATCTTTAAGATGCATCGCTTACCCATCCGCATGCAATTACAGCTGACAGCTCACAGCTAATTAATATCACAGCAATGTTTAGATGTCCCTGGTAATTTCTACACGATGAACAAAATAATCGATTTCGAGTTTTTGTGGCAGAATCTTGGAACTAAAAACACAAGGATTGGAAGTACAACCGCCGTATGTTCTTCCTTTGAGCAGCTCCTAACCATCAGTGACCTTAAGTCTGAACAACGGCAGCTAAAACTTTCCAGGTACCGGGAGAAGAAGAGCAAGAGAAACTTTGGCAAAAAGATCAAGGTATGAACTTAGTTGAGTTCTATTCCATATAATTTTCTTTCTTCAGAAAGTAAAATCTTCAAGAAATGATGCTTCTGTTTCTATAATCATTGCCAGCGTGCATCACCTTTCCTGGTTTGCACATGAATAACCGGAGTCTTACCTCAGATAATATTTTTCTACTTTGAAAGCCACACAAAGCTTGAAGTTCCATAATTTTCTATCTATCTCATAAGTAACAATTAACAATGTTCAGAGAGTAAATTTGATGTTTTAAGAACTTTTTGACTTAGATGTATACAATCTAACTATGACTTGTGCCACCAATGATCTCATTTCTCATAAAGCTCATAATGAGCTAACTCATAAATCATCAACAGTTTTTGTTTGTTTTACCCATAATGATCTTGGAAACACTTGTAGGTTGATCCCTTGCATTGTAATCTTGTATCATGTCAAATTAATTCATAAACCACGTAGAGTGATACTACAGAAAATGGCAATGAAACAAGACTAATACATGAGAATTTTCCAAGTGCATCGTATTCCCTGCTAGCTTTTATCGACATAATTCGAGTAAACAGCAAGTGACACAAAAGGTATTTTGCAGTATGCTTGCAGGAAGGCTCTTGCAGACAGTCAGCCAAGAGTTCGTGGAAGGTTTGCAAAGACCGAAGAGTGTAAACATGTCGATGCAAGCATCGAAGCAGACAAGCTGTAGAAGTTGGCAGCGGCTCACGCTGCACCCTCGTGTTGGAAGAGCTTTCTCTGCAAGAACAAATGCCCCGAAATAGTCAACCTCATAAAGCCAATATCAAATGAATAGATATCTCTGCTTGACACTGGGAAATCTTCGATAACCACCCATGGGGTGTATGTAGTAAAAGGCTTTATAGGGAGAAATGAAGCTGTGTTGTAGTTCTGTACAGGTAATTTGAATAAAAGGATGTTCATAGTGAAGACGCACTAACGCCACCGATGATTTTGGCACTTGCATGACCTTCCTGTTAAGACACCCTTCACAGTTGAAACCTCTGATATCTGTCTGGTACTAGATGAGATCATCAGGACCGCGGAGATGTTCATCGACAGGGATGTGCACCACCTGTAGGTTACTTGGGACATGTTGAGCCTCAAATCAGCATCAACATCAGATTAATCTGCTTGGCGATTGCTGGAAGTTGCAGAGAGCACCCGCGCTTGTTTCTGCTCGATCTATTCGAGTTCCTGCTGTTCGTGGACTGCAACCAACCACCAGGCTAAAGTGGACGTCATCCATCCACACTACACACCAAAGAAGAAAGCACTCGAAATAAGTGAACCATCTCGATAGCCAGAAACGGATACAGAGGTGGAAGAGCGAGCCAATGGTGATACCGCACCACCAACGGTGTTTCTTGCTCCGAAGCCGTAGTTATAATTCCCATGACAGCATCCACAAATACTGACTCCACGCTTAGCAAAAGCAAGCTTTTCAATTCCCATGTAAAGAAAGCACCAGAAAACAAATCAAACAACATAGCTTGGAGGGATGGAAGAATTTTAGCCTGTGATAGTTTTATCCCGCGCCTTAGCATCACAATAAGAGTCATCTTCCCTGTACCCACCCAGCTATGATTTCAGTTGCAGATTCCATGGGAGCTCCAACCCCATGTTCTTTGACAGCGCACCAGATCAAACCATCTGATGCTATCACAGACTACAATTATCCACACAGCAGCTGAAGACGATCACTGGAAGAGTTGAAGCAGTTTACTAAACAGCAGGTTGGTTCAGGCAGAAAACAATCACTCAGTAGAACAAGGAGGGATCGAGATAATGAGGCTGTCCCTCTCTTTTGACGCAGCCAACGTTTACAATTCAGAGATGCAAGTCGCAACAAAACTAAACATATCATTTTGTGGAACTTAATCACACATCGCAATTAACAATTCAGAATAAAGAAAAACTACAAGGCAATTATACCACAAAATTAAGTGTCAAATTTTAGCAGCAAAATATGTTAGTAAGAACCAAATCCTTTTGACTTTTAGCAGACGGCAATTAAGCGGTGCACATCCAGACCAAAATATAGAACAGTTGAGGAAAGTAGATTTAGCAGTTCTTAGCATTTACAATTTTGCCTTTACAAAAACCATGAATCTTGTGGCGAACCAAGGCAAGTCACAGTACCAGCCTTCTATGTCCAATCTCCCAGTAGCACATCTTATACGATGATTAGAAACGTTGATCTCAGAGGCAATATCTCAAGAAATCTACAACTTCCAAACGAAGGTGATCTCAGAGGCACCAATGACCTAAATGCTACCGGAAAAGCCTAGGCACTGATCTCTTTGGTATTTTTCCTTCGAGCTTGAGTCTTCTATATGCTTCTCTAATGTGGCAAGGCCTGATTGGCCCACTCTCCTTCCTTTCTGTCATCACAATTCTAGCTGCAGCATTAAAAATGTGTTAAGCAAAATTCAGAAACAACACAACTGCATTATTTTTAGTATAAATACATCATTTGCAGACCATACAATGGTAATTGATGAAAATGCTCGAGTGAAAGCTGTAATGTGCAGTAAGTTGCATGTCTCACATGTGCCAGGTCATGTCAACCAGAGGCAGTACAGTTCATATCAAGGGAGTAAAAGTTGCATGTCTCAGAACTGACAGGTAGTACACAGTTCAAATCAAGGCAGTAAGTTGAGAGTAAGTTGCATGTCTCAGAACTGACAGGTAGTACAGTTCAAATCAAGGGAGTCAGTTGAGAGTACGTTGCATGTCTCAGAACTGACAGGTAGTACAGTTCATATCAAGGGCATTCCAACACATAATGACTTGAATAGAAAAGTTGTCATCCAGTGCCAACAAGATACAGTCTCTGATTTGTATCTCCCCATACCTGGTCAGGTTATTACATCTCTCCACCAATTGATCACTCTTAAAATAGAAACAAGAGCCTTTCTAGTCCCTATCTTAAGTAACACTTTGATAAGCCATCACTTAGGACTCAGACTTGACTGAAAACAAGATTTAAATCAGAACCAAATAAATAAATATTGGACTGTTTCTAATCCCAAACCATAAAGCTAAGAGTCTCAAACAAAATATGATTTAATATCCCTAGCAAAAAAAGTAATCAAACTCAAATTACCCGATATATCATAAACAACTAAACTAAATCCTATGCCAAGAACAGTCACTTTCCAGAAGACTATTGAAAATTAATCAGAAAAACCATATAAACAAAACAAAAATAAAAAGAAATTACAACTAAAACAATATTGTACTTAACTCTAAATTTATTTGCTAAACCTAACTATGACACACCTAGGACTTCACTCAATTTGTCCTGTGCTACATTGACTTTCTATAGCTAACAATGGGTTACACTATCCAGGTCTGGCAAAAGTAGACATCACTAGACTAAGCGTATTAAAAGATAAAAAAATAATATTAACCTTTAGCATCTTCCAACCAGATCAAATGCATACAAATAGAAAAACAAAAACATGTTTTCACAGAGATCTTCATAATGGCAAGAAGTGAGAAAAAGAAGGTGACATTTTAACCAATGAAGCAGATTAAGTACAGGATCATGTTTGAAGAAAACATAAAATCACCTTCACAATTAGTGTTTAATAAGAAGAAAATTATCTGGTGATAAGTAGACATAATTAGGGTAAAAAAGAAAATTCAACATCTAAATCTGGACCTCTATGTCATGAATGTGTCATATTCTTGTTGAATGGCCAATCCTACATGAAGATATAGACCCTCACTTGTTCTGTTGACTACACATGACTAGAAGATCGTGCATGTAGGATCCATGAAAGAGTTGTTTTCTTGTACAACAAAGATAAAGTGGCAACAGAAGACCAAAGTTTGAGACTGTTCATTATGCTCTAAGAATTCAACAGAGCTAAAAAGCACAAATAAAAAAGAAAAATTAGGAAGCAGCTGCAGTGAACAGAATCAACTTGCATACGGAATCAGATAAAGCTCACTTAATTTAACTATTACTCTTCGATACTTGTAACTTGCCTGTCTCAATCAGCTCCCCAACAAACATTTTTGCTATTCCAGACACCACTATGGTCATTGGTATAGAAATCTTTTGGCTTCCTGTGATGCTTGTTAATAGCTGTAGAAAAAAAGATCACAATGCATGTTATAAAGAAATAGCTAAACTAGCAAGCAAGAGAATAGTAAGTGGCATATCTCCTAGTTTGATGAATAGGCATGACGCCCCTTGAAGCATATATGTCTTCACGTTTGCTCCTAAATGGCAAGTTGAGTTAAACGGTAAACATACCCTTCTCATGTTAGCTTTCTGAAACCCAGATCTCCTAAACGACTCATAACGACTCATTTGCTCCTCCGTAAACTGGGAAAGTATTGCCCTGAAAGTAAATCGATGTAAGCAACGAAGAAACAATGCATAAAATCATTTACTCAAGAATGATCTGCAGAATAAAGTGCAACCGACATGAAATAAAGGAAATCATAGACTCACTCAAGAAAAAAACTTGGATAGCAGATGTTCACGGCTAATTACATATTACCCCCTGTTGTTAGGCTTCTTTAGCATCTCGATCCCTAGACTTTAAAAATTTAAATTGGAATCCTTATAGTTATAAAAGTAAAACATCAATCTCCATGTACCCTAATGTCGCCGGTTTTATTGATGGAAGTACGAAAACAATAGGCAAAAAAATAATTTCAACATCTCAATTACGTTTTTAGTGGTGGCGGACGACACTACCGCTGGGGTCATGGGTGACTGTTGTGGATAAAGAGGGAGAGCGACTACGAGGGGTGAGACGACGATGTAGATGCAGAGCATCGGCTCTGTGTCGTCGTCTCACCTCTCGTCGCCACTCTCCCTCCTCATCCAACGACGTCGTCGTCCACCACCCTCGAAAACGTAATTAAGATATCAAAATTACCTTTTTACCCATCGATTTCGTAGTTCTATCGATAAAATCAATGACATTATGATAAATGAAACTAGATGTTCACTTTCATAATTATAGATATTCTAATATAAATTTTTTAAGTCCTCTATTCTAATATAAATTTTTTAAGTCTAAGGACCGAAATGCTAAAAAGGTCTAGCTATAGGGGTAATAGTAGATATTTGCTACGTTTACTTGATGAAGAAAAAATAATTTCAACCCATTATTCTAGAGCCACAGAATGGCAGCTATTGCAGATCTGAGAAAACTGGCAACAAATTTTTCAATCCTCGAGCTCAGAGATATCAGAAACCAAGTCATTCCGGGACAAACCTGCATTACTGTTTGATATGATATCCTGAAGGTAGAGCACCATAGCTCCTCCAAACATTGTCTACGAGAACACGATTTGAAGATCCGAAACAAAGCCATCTAAACGGATCTCAGCGACTCCTAATTATTTAAAGTCATTCAAAATAACCAAGAAATCAAATCCATGAATAAAAAAAGAAACAGCATGCTCCAGATTAAAGCCCTAATTTCAACCAAATTATCTCAATTTCCTATTTTTCTTTCTTGATCAAATTGAAGATCCCAAGATTGGCGCAGATCAGATTCTACGGAGCTAAAGAAACGGGAGAATTCCCTAATAAAAAATGGTTGACACCAAGATCAAACATCAATGAACACCAACATGATTCTTAGAGAGGGTTTAGTGTGGGACAAGAACTCACTGCATCTTGACCATCTTATCAGGGTCGCCGCCAGAAGGGAGCTTCCCGAACTCCACATCCATATTCTCCTCCTCCTCCTCCTCATCCTCCTCCTTCCCTTTCCCACCACCGCCGGCGGCGGGTGCGCCCGGAGGAGCGGAGGCCGGGGGCTGCGACCGGGCGTCGGCCTCCTCCTCATCGCCGTCTACGGCGTCAGCAACAGCCACGGCATCCTCCTCGGGAGGAATGGGCGACTCCGGCGGCGACTCTTGCTCTTCCACGGCTGCCTCGAAAGGGTCCTTCATCCTTCCGCCAACCCAAACCCTCGCACTCACCCGTATTTATCGTTTCACTTTCCCGGTCGAGGAAGGCCATTGGATTGAGAGGCGGTCCAAATCGGGCCGGTTGTTCGGCCCAATAGCTAATGGGCCTCCAATTATGCTATCTCAACAATATTTGAACATCTATCCTTTCAAATCTTAGAAATAGCATATTTACCCTTTAATTAATTAATATATACATGTATATATGTTAACATTTCTCCCAAAAAACAATCAAGTCGAATATATTTGTCACATTTTTATTATTTTAACCAATTATTTGGCCCTTTATGCTTCCTCAAGATTTTTTAAGAAGATATTGATATCATCTTTGGTTTCAATATCATATATAAATTATTGATGAATTTTAGTAATTATTAGAAAAGGACCCGTCTCTCTCGTTCACAGCGTTCAGCCTGGCTTGTGTTGGCTCGTTGTTGCAGCAGTAGCATCAAGCTCAAACGAAGCTACGGCTCATTCTATTAATGACTTGTCATGCTGATGCCAAGAACAAACACTACAGTGTCCGGAATATGATGTTCACTATCGGGTATAGTGCTTCATGGTATCTTTTCTCCAAGTCTTATGCATATCCCTTGCAGTCACCACTTTGTCGCAGCCTTAACACTATGAAAGCTTGTTTATCGGGTTAGTCAACTCTCCCGTGCTTGTCATCTGATCTCACGCGCCTCGACTGTATCTAATTCTCATGCTAAAACGAGGGAATATTATAGAGCTCATGAGAACTGCATGTGGTCGTTGTCGAACATTCTTGGAGTTTTGTGCTCATTGTCCCCTTCGATTGATAAGGACTTAGTGATCTACTAAGATCGAGGAGGGCTTTGTGTTCCATCACTGGTTTTAACGCAGTTCGAAGTTGTACGTTTCCCCCTTATCAAGGATGCTGATTGCAGAGACAGTGGAGGATGTATTTGTTTGATGTTGCTTACACCATTTGTTTAGTTGTGTACATGCAATTGCTGGCTTCTATTTTCTATGTCATCAAAGCTCAACTTGCAATAAATATTAGTATATTTTATCTAGGGTTGAGGAACCAAGGAGAGGAGGAAGAAGAAGAAGATGAGACCGAAGCCAGAGAAGAAGCTTGGATGACAGTGGACAATATGTTTCCTTGTGGTGGTTGACTAACGTGGACTTTCAAGAGAACAACTAGCAACAGTAAACCCCATGGCCATAACATTCTTGCCCTCTCGACCAACCACCTTCCTCGTTTGTAGACCATCCATGACCTTCCACCTTGTTTGAAGGACTGGCCACCATTAATATTTACACCATTCTGTATACCCAGAAACCCTAATGCAGTTGGGGAGAGAGAGAGAGAGTTATTGGCAGAGAAAGGAAAAGGAAGACGCATCTTTGCACTGTTCAAGTGTTCTCATCAACTCCACTCCCACCAGTACCCTCCGTCTTTCCCGTCTCCTTCCTTCCCGTCATTGCCATTACCGTCTCCTCCTTGTTGGTGCGCGTTCCGTACAGATAGGAAGCGAAGCCCCAGAGGCAGAGCAGCATGGCCACCGCCTTGGAGCCGCCGAACTCGTCGCCGAACACCAGCACGCCGCCCAGCACATTGACCGGCAGCAGCGCCGTCATGCAGATGCCGCTGTGGACCGAGGACGTCAGGAACACCATCCCCGCGGTGCCCATGAAGCAAAGCTGCCAGCTCGCTGCGGTGGTCCCCACCACCACCCAGTAGTGGGCGGCGCCTAGGTCCCAAGCGTCCTCCCTCCTCCACCCTCCGCTGGCCACCATCCCGGCCGCCGCCAGCGCCGTCGCCGACGCCTCCATCAGCAGCTGCACCTCCACCGCCGTCCTGTACCCGTTCACCCCGCGGTAGACGAGCTGCATGACCGGGAGGTACACCGCGAAGAGCCCGGCGGCGCCGAGGGTGGCGGCGAAGCCGAGGAAGAAGTGGCCGCGGTCGACGCCGGCGGAGTGGTCGCCGGACGAGTTCAAGGCCAGAAGAACAGAGCTAAGTGTCAACAGAACGACACAGTTGAGGTTGGAGAAGGTCAAGGGATGGCGGATGAGAAGCGCCGAGAGGATAAGCGTGAAGCCGAGCTGCGACGAGAGAAGGAGCGAGGAAGTGGAGACCGGAAGGTAGGACACGCCGCAGGAGAAGAGCAGGTTGTTGACGCCCAACAGGAGACCAAGGAAGAGGGACAGATAGAGGAGGCGAGGGCTGAAGCAAGAGAAGGGACGGGAGGAGGGAGAATGTGTAAGGTATATGAGGGGGAGGAGGAGAGGAAACCCGGCCGACTGGACCAGGGTGGAGACCCAGCGGTTGGAGCCGCCATGGACGAAGTAAAACCGGGACAGCAGAGAGGAGGATAGGGAGCCGAGTATGAGAGACGCGTACGTGGCAGCCAAGAGGAAGTGGTTCGACGTCGACCGATGGTTTGCTGCCTCACGGGACTCCAGAGCAGCGTCCTCGCCGCCGTCGCCTCCTCCTCTTCCTCTTTCTTCGTCGAGTTGGGAGTGATTGGTTTGCTTCTCCATCAGATACAGATAAAGTGGAGGGAAGGCCAGGGAAGATATATATACACTTCTAGTGATGCATCTCGTGAAACTTCATGATTTGGGCCGGGAGGTGGATCAGATAGACACTGACTATGTGCGCTTGTTGGGTCATGCGGGAGCAGAGACGACACCTAAACCGCCGTGAGATCTATAGTGGAATTGAGCCCGAAGGCTCAAGCATGCCATAATTAATTTGGAGATCTTTCTTCCTCTTGTCTCTCGACGTCCTAATAATTATCGATCGATATCATTCCATATAAAAACTTCTGAGTAGAATAACATACATGTGAAACTTGAATTGATTGTATATCGTTAATACGTGGTCTAAATAAGTTCTGAATACAGAGTGTATATTGTTTATGCAGTAGCTCAACCTTATCTTTGACTAGTGGGAGCAATAAGAGGAGGCGTTCATCTCATGGTTTAAGACCAGCGGAAAGCTTAATCCACCCATTACTGCTGAGGACAAGCCATGTCGTATGGTTTTACATGGGCTCCGTACCTCACTAACTATGGCGTTGCTTTCTTCTCCTTTGTTCTTCGTAAGGTTATGTTGTCTTAGCGCAATCAAGTATGGCTTCTTCGAGCTTTGTTTGATGTGATCCAAATCACTAAAACCAACGTAAACATCAATCAGTATTGAAGTCAGTTCGAAGGTCTATGTCGATCATCCTTATGATTCGATGTAATATCTTGGTTTAGTCCCGTTTCGAAAACAGACAAAAATTAAGATTGATTTATAATAAACTGATGGGCATATTATTATTAATTTAATTTTAAAATATTTTGAGTCAATAATTTATATTTAATAAATAAAAAATAATTATCTAATGGGTATATTATTTAGTATATTAGCCAAATCTCATTCATTATTGCAATGTCGAGGGCATCATGTTGAACGTTGACAATCTACCGTACATGAGCAGCTTTAAAGTTGATTTAATAGGCTCATCAGGTACGTGACTTCCTTGTTCTATCTGCAATAGAGGGTAGTGTGTCTTCTTAATTAAAGGCCGCCAGGAAAGTCCGGGCAGCACAGCACAGCAAACGCCAACTTAGCACCGACCAGTCTCCAACTTGGTAGCTCCGCCCAAGAAAAAACCTATGGTGGTAGTGCGTCATGTCGCGATGGGCACATAAACCTACCCCGAGCTGTGCAGGGCACCAAACTGCACCACATGCGCATGGGAGGCACTGTTTAAGATCCGTGGGTGTCACGAGAAAACGAAATCCAATGACAGACATGTTCTTGTAAACATGCTAAGTTGGCGAAGACTAGGAGGTAAAGAAAGAACATTGTGATTTCCTCTAATTGTTGAAGAGATTTACGACGCTCAGATCATCACTTTTCGACCAACAACATGTCACAATTTGAATTATTATTTACTTCATTAAAGAAGTCTCGGAGATGGAGTAAGCAGAGAAATGTACAAAGGGGAAGAGAAGATAACAAATGTAAAGGGCAGAGATTTCTTTTCCCTTGTCACTGTTTCTTCCAAGTTTGAATCATACAACTCTCTGCCGGAGGAGCAGCCTTGGGCTTCATTTTCTAGTCCAAAGCTTTTACCAACCAGCAGGATAGGGACCGGCCACCGACCCCAACAACAGAGTGGCTTTCGTCCATCCGCCATCAAAAAAAATTCCATGGCGAGAGATGCCCAACAACATCCAAAGAAGAAACAAGAATCTAAATCTTTTAAATCCCCCAAGCGGAGAAAAAGAAAAGGCAGAGGAGACATTGTACAAGATCATTTTGGGCATCAGTTCAGCCAAATGCCACCATGCGCTGTTTCGGGTAGACCGGTGACAGCAGTATATTTTCTCCCCAATCATTGTACAAACTGCTCATGGGGAGGTGCTACCGAAGGCTCTTGTTTTTATTTCTTGACTGCATGACGTACTTATTTTCCTTCTTGCACACCGACCAGATTCACGGTTCTCCGATAGCAGCAATTCATGTTACTTGACCCACATCAGCCAGAAGTTCTTACGAAACCAACGAGTGCTGTGCTGCTCTATATTTCCCAGTTCGGAAAAGCATCTGATTTCCTTGAAGCTCACTTGCTTGTAGGGATCCCAGTCTGGTGATCCTCCACCTCGATTAACACAAGATTGGGAGTTTTGGACTTTGAATCATCTATCTTTGGGACTTCGATCGGTTCATTGTTTCTGGGCTGGAAAAGATATATCAAAAGAATAATAAGAGATCCAAGATTTTATTGCTTGGTAAGGAACATTACTAGCAGACATTGTGGGAAAATACAAATCAAAATATAAGCACAAAAAGCATGCAATGAATAGTACAAGCACTCGTGAAATGCAGTATCGCCTATCAATGTAAAAACTTGTAAGGAATTCTCACAAAATTAGAATTAATACTACGCACGGATAACTGACTAGCAAATGCTTGCATCAACCTTCGTATCAAAGGGGATAAAAACGAGTTT